ACCAATAAGCCATTCTAATTTCTTTTTAGTATATGTACTTCCTTATTTCTCTTTTATCACTTTTTCTTTGACATGAATTTCATTAGTTTATATATCATCTTCCAGTTTATGTCTTTGACACCTACCAATCAACTACAAACATATGTAAAGTCAAAAAAATATCTATGAAGCTCGAAAAAAGATTTTTTAGAAAATATTATAAAATAAACATATTTTTATATATTTCTACTTAATCATATAAGTAAATATTAGAATAAATATGTATGTCTATGATACTTTGTAGCTAGTATGTATGAAGACAAGTTTAAGCTCTAGACTTGTTAATATATTTTTTAAATTCTAATCTTTTAATTCATGTTGTACATATTATTCTTTTAATTCATGCTATACATATTATTCTTTTAATTCATGCTGTACATATTGTTATTCAAAATACAATCAAGATTATTAAAACATTTATTGAAAAGAGAGCAATGAAATATGTTATTTTCAAGAAAATTGCAGCAATTTACTAAAACTTCCATACACAAATTTAAATGTATTAAAATAAAATAGATGACAATTATAACTTTCTAAAAGAAGAAACACGTGAAAAATATATTTATTTTATCAAACATATGTATGGAATTTTTATTTTTTTTTATAAAAATCCTTTTTTAAATAAGAAATAAGAAGTTAAATTTTAAGAGGAGCATTGGAAGTGGGGTTGAAGTTAAGAACATACTCTCCCAAGAAAACTTCACGATGACTAAATTATTTACAGTAACAGAATTTCATAACAAAAATACAAAATAGTATACATGTGATTGTTGGATCAACAAAAAACAAATTCTGTAAAGAAAGGAATTCCTCCCAGAGGAAACAAAGCAAAACACAACGATGTGCTGAGAGATAGAATAGCTTCAACAAGCAACTCATTCATTTTCATTTAACATTAAGTACTGTATTAATTCAAATGCCTCTGAACAGAAAACACAACACCACAACAACTGGATTTTTCGAATTTTGATAGGATACATTATTAGATTCTAAATCTCACATTAAAAAATTAACCATTCAAATACTAGATTTTCCATTTTGAGACAAATATTCTGGAAGAATTAGCCAAATGCCTCGCTGTCTTACAGCAACATCTTTTTGGGAACTGGGAACTGGGAACTGGAGAACATTCGAACGAAGTTCCCAATACAGAACGTGGAGGGAACAAGTGGGGGATCAGATGCTGGGCTGGGCCGGGCTGCACGTGCTTCTGTAGGTGGGGTGTGGTTGTCGGTGAAGAATAACTGGCAGAGCTCGCATTCGGTGTAAGAATGACATGGGGTCCCTCATAACCATCGTCTGGGAACTTGTTACTAATGTGATTGCTGCCAGTGTCCACATCCAACCACACGATACATGCAGAATCATGTTCTTTTCAATCCTTTACGCTGCACAGAGAAATTCCGACATTACTCCCGCCGAAATCTTTTGGGAGTTTGGCCTGCACATCTGTTCTGACCGAAATTTAGAGATAGAGGGAATGACCTTGTATATCCATGAAGATCATTCAGAATAAAAGGACGACGATGTTCTTACAAGCAGCAACAGAACTCCAGCGACCAGTTGGCTTTTCTGATTCGACAAGGCATTCCAAAATTCATTATCTGCGGCAATTCAGTTGCTTGGATTATGGATTGTGAATACAGGCTCCACATCTAGCTTTGCCTTTCCGATAGGCTGTGGGGAGGCTCGTGTTTGGGCGTCCTTGACATGAACGGTTGACGCGATTCAAGGTTTTACGCAATGCCTACCTGGGCAGAATGGTCGAGTAAGGTGATTCAGGGGCTACTTTTGTAAGCTTAACTGCTTTTCTGTCTTCTTAATATCTTTAGAGCCATATTTGTACAACTACATCTCGATAGCTTTGATCACAGTTGCACCGCGTACGCCTCACGTCAACACTGGGTAAACTTTCATTTCATGAATGCCTTATTGAAGCGACGGAGACATAGCAAAATTCCAGCGACATCTTGAACTGTATGCTTTTTGGGGACCTCCTTGATGAACTCTTGTTCATTGTGGGCAGCAAATGTTGAAACATGTTTTTCAAAAGTCTAAAGATTTGTGCAAAGACAGGTGTTAGTACATGCAAACCTCGACGGTAAACCCTGAACCTGGTGAAGTCCTCAACCCCGAATCTATTTCAGATCTCATTCTTAATCGTATCGCGTCTCACATCTGCTTGATTCAAGCATATCAGGTGTTTGTCGATCCACCGATGCAGAATTAATGAACTGTGGAGCTACGTTGTGATTCAAAGCTGGATCTCAAGGCCCATAGCTGGAAACGTCGAAAACAGGGAATCGATTGGCAGGATGGTTGGAAGTGCCTGCTAGTTAATATAATAGAATCAAAACACAGGATTCAATGCAATCAGCATTGCAAATATAGCAATACTCAATCGATCATATCGCCATCCTAACCCCCCCCCCCCCCCGGAGAGTACGACTGCATAGAGTGTAAATGCAGCGAAGCGGAGGGGGCTAAATCCAAAACAGACAAGCTTGTGCCAGGTGCTATATTTGGTCGACTAGACCCATCCACGATCAGTGCATCACAATACCACAACGAAATCCATAGAGAATGAAACCGTTTCGAAGCACAGTGACCAGGCAGCCAACAATGGCGATGAGGCCAAAATTGAAGTGGCGCGCTCGGGCTATAAACATCCCCACCAGTTGCCTCTGCTATTAAATAAACCTGGACTCAATCACCAGTATCATGAGACTGCTTACCTCGTTGCAGGAACCGCCACCACCATCTACGTCTTCCCCATAATTTTTGTCAGAGCTTTATTTGTAGCGTAATGCTCTGCACCCCTCACGGTGTAACCCGGAAGAGAGTTGCTACAGGGACTGCAAGTATAAGCAACACAATCGTCCTTTTTACTCCTTTTTCTGCTTCTTTCTATTTTTTTCTGCTTGGGTTTTGTTTGGATATGTCTTGGGCCTGCAAAACCACGATGGATACAAGACATGATGTACGACCTCTTTCCACTTTGCATTAGTTGACAAAAGTTCATGACAGTATCTCCAAAATGGAATGAGGGCTTTACACTCATCAGTCCATGCGTGACCCCGGAGTGTGGAATGCTGCGAGTGGTTACAAGCAGACACTTGCGCGTGCTCACAGTTTCCTCTTCCACAGTGAAGCATTTATCACTTCACCAGATCAGTTTCTTTAACTTCTTCAGCTGCAGCAGCCCTACTTCTATTGGACTCCGCGATTGATCATCAGGTTCTTCCAACCCATAGTCATGTCCTTCTGGTCAAGATCCATGTTCTTCAAAGTACCATTCCTTCTAAAAAATAATAAATCAATCAATCAATCAATCAATCAATATCAAATACAGTTTAGGTTGAACAGGCATGAGTAAATATTGATCGTTTTGGTGAATGCAAAGTTTAATTCAAATTTCAAGTGAGGTTCCTATATCACCGAAACACATGGTTGAAGGGGAAATAATTAATAATGTCCCATCCACCTGTTCTTGCACCTTGCTCCCTGACAAAGGAACGTTAACTTTATTCTTTTGGAAATGGCAAGTTCGGAGAAGCTCCAACTTGCATCCTACACTGTAAAATAAATAGTATATTTTGAAGTTACCATGTGCAAACTCTTTACTTTGTTGAATGTTTGTATTCTTGTGGATACATACATTCATTCATATATATATATATATATATATACACATACATACAGCAACATCCTGTAATACGTGTAGTACACATTTTTGACAATAACAATCATTTTGAACAAATCAATGACAAAGAATAATATATATATATATATATATATATATACATACATATTCCTCCCCAAAATACCATTTTGATGAAGTATGTCTTATGAGCATTTTAAATCACACACGCTTATACTCGTTGTTATTATTATTTGTTATTGTGACGACATAGGTGGAGGAGGAGGAGGGCATTATCCATTGTGCACTGGAGTGAAGAGGGACCTTGCACTCTCGCCTGGTCTCCCATGGCATTGCTGTGAATAGAGGGGGGGGGTAGCTGAAAGCAAGAGGAAGAAGAGAAAAATGGGCAAAAAGAGAAAAGTGAAGAGCGAAAAGGGACGACAGAGAAGTCCACCATGGCAGCTTCAAAGTCCCGATTGCCTGTCATCCTGATCGACAGCCATGGCACAACACGTATACATACCAGAAGATCGAGAGCTGTGTAGGATTGAATTTACTTCTTCGAAGTTAACAACAACAACAACAATATCAGACAGAGGCTCCTCTTTCTTTTCAGAGGCCTTTGGTGTGTGGGTTTTTTGAGAATGGGTGGGCTATGGGTGTCGATGGAATGCAATTATATATATATTTGATTAGACGAGAATGAACGAAGGGATGAATATCCGGATGGATGAGAGAGGGTTTGACATGATTCGGGCGAGGAGCAATTTCAAATTTTGGTGCGTTGCGGAAATTGGGTGAGAGGAACCCCTGAAAAGAAGGAAGGGGGGGGGAGGAAGGGAGGGAAAGAAGGGCACGGCACAAGGGCGGGGGGAAGTGACGCGGGAGACATGGCTCACCCAGCAGGGGAGCACTGGACACGCTGGACTCTCTCTCTCTCTACGCCAGGCTGGCACTCCCGCAACTAACCCCCTCCTCCTCCGTCCAACTGAACCACGACGACGACGACGAAGACGAGCAGTAGTAGCCTCCCGGAGTCGGACCACTCAGTAGGTTCCATTGTCACCAGCAACCGACATCGACTCCTTTGCCTGCGTCGTCAACGAACATCGCCGTCGTTAGATGGCGACGAAGAGCAACAGGAAGGCATGCTGCTGGATGCGAAAGAGAGAGGGAAGCGGAGAGAACGCCGCATGCAAGGGATCACCTAACGTCATGATGTTCTATTATACGAGGGAGGGGGGGAGAAGGGAGCGAGCGAGGGCTTTGTTACTAGAATAATACCCCTTCGCTGCTTTATTATTGCGGCTATTCACCGTTCTCTCCCTCCCGCACTCCCCACCCCCCCCCCCCTCACTGCACCACCTCCGCCTCTATGCTTCCCGCTTCCATTCCCACTCCAATTGCCTTCTTTTTCGTTCTTGTTATTTTGGTTTCACCGATCTCTAATACTTCCGTGACCTGGTGCATTTTGCTGCCTCAACCTGGATCGCGCTCAAGCCAGGGACTCCGAAGAGGGCAGTGCTTAGACAAGCGGATATCTAGCTTCGAGCTGTTGGTTCTGGTCCTGATCCAACATTCCCTCCTTCGGCCAACTTCATTTCATTTTCTTCTTCGAGGTCCTCGTAGCGGAGGACTTGAACGCAGATACATGCTTTGCATGGGGTGATACGTTAGGTGCAAGTGGTTGGGTTGCGCGAACTGGATCCTTCATAGAGCGGGTTCTCTCTATCAGGAGTAGTTTTTAAGGTCTGGGAAAGGGGATCAGGTATACACAGTTTTTTCTTCTTGGTGCCGCTTTCCTACGATTCTGAAGTCGGAGGGGCGTGCATGAATCTGAAATCATTTCGAGTGCTTTGGCATTGAAGCACTCAAATGGAAGTTTAGCAGACTGTGGTGGTCCGTTCAGACGGGTGCCGTTGATTACACCAGATTTTTAGCTTTAGTGGTATGCTTCTGATAGTTCAACCACTTTAGTTTTCATAATCCGTAAGAACTGTGCTGGGATTGAAGAATCCACACCTTTCCGAAGTATTGGCTCTTATCGCCAACTTCGATGCTACGGACCTGAGTCTCGCTATTCTTCTACTCATGACTTTTTGCACCCAGCATCTTGTGAATCTGTAGGACACCGATAGGTGTTCAGATGGTGTTTAACGTGGTATCGTAGGTGTATTTATCAATACAAATGATTTTCCGCTCCTGGATCCTTTTAATTGAGGCGGGAGGTTCCTATTTTGTACTTCAAAACTCTTCAATGCAATGTCTGTCTTCAGATCTTCTGGGGAATTGAGGTGACTTTGTTTATCGTGGAGATTCCAATTTTCTTGGGGTTGCAGCCTTCTCTTGAGCAATGCGAGTCTCCTAACAAACCGTTCGCAATGTTCCTTTCGAATTCTTCGTGATAGAGACGCCTTTGTGCGAATTTTGGTGCTCAGAGCTTACAAACTGAGAACTTAGTGAAAACCTCCGTTGCATTCGTATCCGAGACATTTTAGTACAGGCGTCCCAGATAAATAGGTAGTTCGCAAACTCGACGATGGCCACTCTAACCCCTGGGGTTTTACTCAAGCTCCTGAAACATATCAACTCGGACGTGAAGGTCACTGGAGAACACCGATCCGCTCTCTTGCAAGTGATTTCCATTGTGCCAGCTCTTGCGGGGGGCGAGCTCTGGCCAAACCAAGGATTCTACATCAAAGTTTCAGACTCGTCCCACGCCACATATGTCTCTCTCGGGGAGGAGCACGACGATCTAATTCTCAGCGATAAGCTGCAGTTGGGGCAGTTCATTCACGTGGACCGACTCGAGGCTGGATCTCCGGTTCCACTTCTCCGCGGTGTAAGACCTCTTCCTGGACGGCACCAATGCGTAGGAAATCCAGAAGATCTGGTTGCGACTGTAGTCCCGACATCATTCAGTTTGGACACCTCTTTCCAACCCGATCTCTTTCAACCCGACTTGCGCACATCGGACACTATAGACAGGTGGGTGAGGTCCTGCGCTGTCAAGAAGTTTTTTCTTATTTTGATTTTTCTATGGATGAAGTCGCTGGCCTTAGACTCATCGTCCGCTCAGCATGGATTTGACGTGGAATGCGTGGTTTGACAGGTTCGACCCGTCCTCAGCTGAGAGCATCGCTGGGAAGAACGCAGAAAGGTCGAATGGTCTCGTTGGGAGGTCTAATTCTACTTTATCCAACAGTTCTCACAAGTTTTATGACGTTGACGTAACGGTTGAGAAGACGATTGAGATATCGTCTGATGACTTTGGGGCTCAACTCAGCGAGAGGTTGGCTCGAGGCACGATGTCAAGGAATACTTCCTTCAAGCCACATTCCTCGATAGAGTCTGTGAGATCTAACAACCCGCAGGAGGAAGGAAGGCCTCTCTCCAGGTCCAAAATGCGGCAAGACAAACCTAAAGCATATGTAGATTGCACCTCAGTGCAGAAAGAGGTGACCAAGAATTCGTCCCCTTCAAGGTCTCAATCTATCATGAGTTCCCTATTTACTGACAGAAGATCGCCCGCCTCTTTATTCACAAGAAGCGTGGTGGCTTGCCCTGAAGATCGTATTATTCCCTACAGAGACACTCCTGTGACATCTAGTAGAGCTAAGCAAACATCGCCCATCACCAAAAGGTCGGTCAGTACTGGCAGAGTTGTTAATGGCTTGGATGCTACCAAGAGGCGAGGCTCACTTGGTTGTACTGGTCGAGCTGCTGAGCCTGTGAATGTGGCTGCCAAGAGTGTCCGCAAGAGCTGGGAGGGCGCAGCAACGAAGAACGGGAAAGACCGCACTCAGCCTAAGCCCTCCATCAAAGATGTTAAGGCAACGCTCTGGTCTTCGGTGAGGGTTCATTCCTCCCTTCCTCTCAATTTCACTTAATTATTGCTCATATTTGCCAATTTTCACTCAACTTCATTTCCTGGCTAGGCAGTCTTTGAGATTCAACGGGTTGAGCATCTCATGAAAGATTGCACTACATGTAACTCTCCTCTAAGATGTTTCGTTTTCTTGCAGCTTTCTGGGTCGAGGAACAAGCTCGTGGACTGCAACTCAAATTCCTCTCTAGATGGGGGTCCGGGTTCACCGCATGTAGGACTTGGAAAAATTAAAGTTAAAGCAGACAGCAACGTCTCTGTTAACGGCCCTGGATCTCCCACACATTCCATTTCAAGTATAACAACATGCAACGATATTGAAGTGTCAAGTATCCTGGGACTTTCGAGTGGAAATTTCTGGGAGTCACTTCCGGGAAACCTGGCGATGTATGGAATGGTCAGTAATTACCACTTGCGTCGTCGACACTCTACTTTCTTGCTTCTAAGCTAAGGGAACTGTTGTGTGCGCCTGTGAATGATGACTCGATTGAGTGATAGTTGATAATTTCTGCGCTGGATGATTCAATGAACTCAGTTTGTGCGGAAGCTCACTTTTGAATTCGCTAACTTTTCAGGAGGCTTTGCAATCGAGGGAGACCGCAGCATTGGCAGCAGTGGACGCTCTGCAAGAAGCTTCGGCAGCAGAGAGCGTTCTTCGAAGTCTCAGCATGTTCGCTGAATTATGCTCTGTTGCGCGGACTGACCATCCGCAACCATCGGTAGAGCAATTTCTGAGCCTTTCCCAGTCCCTGAAGAATGCTGTGGCGGTATCAGATGCTCTATCTACAGCTCGGAATTCGGCAGAAATGCCCACCCCAACGGAGGATGCCAACGACGTCTCGTATGATAAGGCACAAGTAGTGATGGATAAGTCACGAAGTGCCACAAGCTGGGTCAATGCAGCTCTTACCTCCGATTTAGCCTCGTTTTCAGTACAGAGCAAGCAAGCAGGTTCAGGTACACATCGGAACTTTCCCAAAAGAGCCAGTAGTCAGCAGTTGCAGGTCATGCTTGACAATGGCCCAAGTACGGTGCCCAGGGGTAGGAGTTCCTCGCCTTCAATGAGCAGCAGGGCTACATCATCTCCTAAGACCCGGGCTGCCCTGGCAACTGTGACGAACGAAAAGAAGTCTGCTGCGGAATCAAGATCACATTCTCCTGTCCCTGTGTTGACTTCCAGACGTTGCAATGCAATTAGTAGAATTGGGCTAGGAAAGATCACCAAAACATCGAGCAAGGTGGTCCCGGAAGCGCAACCACCTGATCAGCTTAAGATACCACCGCCTGCACCAACGCCTGCGACGCCACCAGCTGCGTGGGTGAGGGGTAAGGGGGTGGCCGAAACCTCGGAGCTGGCGAAGAAGGTGCAGAATGAATCCCAACGGTGGTTCCTCAACTTCATGGAGGGTGCTCTTGACGTGGGCTTCCACATAGCCACTTCAGGTATTGGTGAAAGAGAAGATATCTATGGTGCCAAGGTCATGAGCCAGCAGGAGAATAGCCACATTGCTACCATGTTGTCGCAATTGAAGCGCGTCAATGACTGGTTGGATCAGGTGGGCGATGGATTAGACACCAAGTTGATTGAAACCAAAGCACGGCTGAAACGGAAGATCTATGATTTCCTCCTCCAGCACGTTGAGTCCGCTGCTGCAGCTCTAGGCAACGTCTCATCTGTCACCGTTTATTCTAAGCCTCAGCTCGTGAATTGATAATCAGCTCTAAATCTGGTAGTTTGTCCAAGTTTCTGGTAAAAGCACGAGTGCTTATATGTTCGTCTTTGCCGGGAATGGGTTAATATCAACTGAATATTGTTGAGGATACATTCTTCACTTAGGAAGTGGATACAACATGATTCTTCACAGGTCTTGTCAAATAGTGGGTACAAAAAATAGCAGTATGCGTAGACTAGATGCTTAACAGGTCACTATTCTGGAAGCCTTGCGACTACGGGAATCCGCGAGTAATGTAGATGAGGGTAAAGGCTGCCATGCTGACCTCAGTGACACCTACATTCACCTTGACTACGAACTCGATATAGTGTAGTAGAAAACATCTAAGTAAACCTGCTTTTGCGTTGCCGTCAGCAACACCAGGCTCACCAGGCCCGTGTACATTACATTTTGGTCAGTTAATTCTATCTACTTTTGAAAGGTTTTCTTTGAAAATCTGATTATCTGAAGGATGGAGTACTGCAATTCAAGGTTAATATTGACTAATGTCTATATGACTAGGGTATTCCAAAAATGATTCAGGTGCGATGCGTTTCTATTGTTGAGTCATTTCATGTGGAAAGCCTCAAGAAATATGCTACAAATTGCCTCAAGTACTGTTATCATTATATGTAACATTCATTTGAACTGAACGTCGCAAAGACATTATAGGTGAAACTTCACATGTGCATCTTCGCAAGTTTAAATTTTTATATTCATTGATTGAATTATATATGTCGACATCGAGTACTGAACATCTAACTGCGCATACAATTTGGAGACATGAAAGATTTCATTCTTTCTTAGTAAAGAAAGCACAGGAAATTGTGGCTGCTAAAAATTCACAGCTTTTTGGTATTAAACCTCTCTATGTAATGCAATTTTATATGCGTGAAAGAAAATTTACTGTGCACCAGGTGACTTCATGTCACAGGCGATCGATATTCAATTTATTTACTCAGGCTTGATGCACAACATTCCGCTCCCTGATTCTTGATCAAGTGCGTACTGTCGAATACCACTTACTGCTTTTTGATGATCCATTGCTGAAGTGCTCATATTTAGCGTCAAAGTTGCTCCTTGCGCCCAAAGCTTACATGCGTCCAATAGATTACTACGATGCGCTCTCCTGCTATTTAAGATGATCGCAACCCGCTTTTATACCACAACAGAAACAAAGCAGAACAGACATTGAAAATTGATCAAGCGTCTACATAAATGAAAAGGAATGGAGGTATTTCTCACTTGAGAGACAAATCCAGGTGGGCCGCGGCGTTCCAAATGCTGCTGTTCAAGTTCACACGTTGCTTGTTCGTAGAGAATTTCCGTTGGGGTGAATGAATCCTGATAAACTGTTCACAACAAAATGGTCCAGTGTGAGGTTGGTAGCATATGATGGATACTTTAACGACATTCACAAGGACATAGGAACTACCTGTAACCCACCCTATTTTTTCCAACTAGGATTCTAAAGTTGGGTATGGAAATGGTTGCAGATTACCCCAAGACACTCCATAGTTTGATAGTAGGCTCTTCCTTGGAGCGGCGCATGCCCTCTTCTTGATTCTGAGAAATATCTGGTCCTGCATGAAGACAACTATTCACGAAGTCAACATATGCAGTAGGATCAACATCAAGGGCTCAACTCCAACATGATGGGCTCCCTAGGAACATGGAAGTGGAACATACTCTATGGCCTATGGCCTACCAACTTCTTTATATTGGTGCAAGTAATTGTGTTTCTTATGAATGGTACATAAATTTCATGGTTTTCAAGTAACGAGCGCCTTCACCGAAAAGGTCGAAGAATATACGAATTGGGTAACTGATTCATACCATTCGAGGTAACCAGGATCGACAGTGAATCCATAAATGTCCACCATCTCGCATACTGACAGTGCAAACTCTATTGCCTTAACTCCTGTTCCTTTTGCTGATTTTCCCAAGGGTGCACCAACCATTAGGTATACTGGGTTCAAAATGGGAACCTCCTGCAGCGGCGTAACGGCATAGTATTACTGATATTGATGCAGTTGCGCGATAGACATTCAAATCAGCAAAATGCACTTGGTGAAGTACTCTCGACCTTGTTGCTCGTACCCGTATCATTCGGCTCATGAAGTCGTGGATAGTTGTCTTCACGATAATGGTTTCCTGCGCAGACGCTGATCAACGCAGAAGACTCAACACATCATACCGATTGCAGTATGAACCATTATGGGATGTAAATTTACACATTGCCTCATGGTCCTCCTTACCCGACAATGCTACAATTTTGTCAAGAGCTTTAGCAGATCCACGATTTAGAATTCGAAATGTGGTCTTCTCTCCCACGTAGTGAGTGTAGTTCTGGAGTGGCAAGAGCACCAATTTATAAGAAAACTGAAATGCTGTGAAGTGTCCTTGCAAACCCAGCTAATTCCAAGGTGCTCAGGGAGATTTCCTTACCTCAACAGGGGCACCATTCATTCGTATGACAGCGTCAAATTCATCGATCTCAGCCCCAAAAAGATCCTGGAGTAGGTCATTTGAGTTTCCCACCACTGCACATCGACCGTATTGACGGGGGATGAAGGGAGGTGTGGAAGGAATTACTGGTGCCAGCTTCTCGTTGCACAATGTGATGTTGGAGCACATGCTTCTGCAAGTAGGAAAGATGTATGGTATCAGTGGAGGTGTTTTCAATTACCATCAACTCCAACAGGAGGATAAAATATAAAGGATTAGGGGTAAAGCAGACCTGTAGCCTTTATTGATGCGCTTCCAAGCATAATCTCGCCAACCATTTGGGAGTCCGTCGATATATTCTCTGGTAAGTATTGTGATGCTGTTTCGCACCTGGCACGAGGGATTAAGGTGGTGGACTCATCACAAGCTCTATCAGACTTTTTCAAAGATAGAAGAAAGCGCAATGGCTCACAGCTGTAGCAAAAACCAATCACAAATTTCGGAATGTGCGAACTTCAGTCAACATAATGTATGATACGAGACAAATATTTTCAGCATGTGCCTGAGGAGTAATATGATTTAACATGAGTAACGAGCATTTTGCACTCGAATCGTCTTACTCAAATATTTGAATTCAGGTCAATACTAACAAGTTGCAGCACATGAGATGCAAAAGCGAGTAGTTTGACAGAAAAAGATGCTGCGAGGGCGAAAGATCCTGCGTCGTGCCTTTTCCCACAGACCTATCAGGCTGCAAAGGTCAAATTCGTAGACAATACCCTCCAATTCTCCAGATGCTGGCTCTTTCTGCACTACAAAGGAATCAAGAATTGGTGCCAGCGTTAGTTGTGTCTCGTCCTTCCTATCAAAAATAGAAGAACATTCGTCATTCTGTGAAAGGCAACAGACAACTAAATCCTGTAATTGCTTACCCAAATTGCTGCGGAAGGATCAGTGAACAATAATTTCACCTTGCACTCGGTAACAGGGCGGACATCCATTCCCATCCCTTTCTCCCTCTGCACATGGCAAGTAAACATGTCCTTGAATCGAGCACATTTTCTTGTCTGAGACATAAAGCTTGAGCTCAAGCGTGTAAAAATGCAGTCTACAATAATTTTGGACTCAAACGTTCAGAATCTTGATTGTCAAAAGAAATCTATACTGACAGAAATAGAAAACCAGCACGCGTATAACGGTCTTCATTTCTGTTGGTGGTTAAGCATTTAAGCAAAATCACATCGACCTGAAGTGCCAAAGTTCATGTGTCAACAACTTACAACACATTGAATAAACTCCTGCTGAAAGTTAACCATTGTTGAGCGATCAGCATCCAAGTTCATATATCGGTTCGACCGTGATCTAGCTGCACAGTACAGCAAGGGCGAGACAACGTTCAAACCAATTACTAATTCAATAATTTGAAACAATCAGTCGACATAGGTCGATGGAGTTGATCAGTTAATTCCCTTCAAGCATCACAGTTCAACTACCAATGGAAGCAAATCAGCTCTATACTTGGGAAGAAAGTACCGTTTGAAGCAAGTTTGACGTAATAAACGGCAGAGGACACCAATGCGAGCATCAACAACTTCAACAACCGTGATGGAGCTCGCTCAAGCTTCGTCATGGAGGACTACGGAATATTCTGAGTCCTCACCTGGATGTTGAGTCCCAACCACTTGCAGTAGAATATTCTGACTTGCTCTAAAACCTATTCCAAACAAACTTACAAATGTGAAAGGTAGAAAACGTTAATGAACACGGTCATATCTCGGTATTTCTATTCAGCCCTCCACTGTTTACTTGTAAGCTGCAATGATGTGTACGGATGCACCGCAACCTACCGGCGATTAAGGACCACGATGAGATGCTTGTCTGTTTCTCGTTAAATACAAACAATTGAAACAACGGAGCATTGCTGATGGGTACTGCTTCTGTGTATTGAATGCCGACACTGCAGCGTGGTGTAGCTCACATTTTTCCCAACATGACCAAGATCGAACAAAACATTCCAGTGGATGTTTTCCCGCTTCGTCCCTTACCCCCGCTATGCTCTTTAAATTTAAAGAAGAATAGAATAAAAATCAGCAGGTTCTTGGCATCAATCCTTAAAGCATCATTCTGGGCCTTCAATAATCTAAAAACCATAAGGAGCTGCGCCGTTCATTCAGTAGGAGTTGGATACGCTTCTTTACTCAGAAAAAGAGAGCAATAAAACTGATTGAGCACCTGCAACTTGGGTGTTTCCCACTTTGCGTCATTTTTAAACAACACTCGTTTTAGAAAGAACATTAAAGAGATTTTGCTCAAAGCTCTTTCAGAAATGTTGCCAGTCGCTAAACCATAAATTGGTGATGAGCAATGGGAAGGCGGAGACAAATTCCGTCTGAAACAGTCTTGTTCGGTGAGCTAGACTTGAACGGAAGGTGTAAAAGTGTAGGGTTACGATGCACTGCGATGGAGAGGTTTGCCGGATCTTACTGGTGATGCACGAAGACCTATTTCGCATATTTACCAAACCCCCACTCCTACTTTCACCTTCATCCGCAACCAGTTGGCCTCACTCGCGCATAGTCTCTTTGCCAGGAATTTACAGGGATGCCTGCTGAATGAGATTTATGAGGTCTCCTTGTGTCCATTTCCGCCCCTACTCGTACTCGTCTCACCTGGTTGTTAATGCCCAAGTTTATTCGGCAGTAGACTCCACCAGGTCGGCATCCGACTTTCTGAGTGAAGCATATCTCCAGGTTTCTTGAATCTCTGCTATGTATAATGCTTTGCTCTATTTTTCCATTTGGAGGGCAGTTGCAGAGCTAAATCTTAGTGGAGGCTTAGAGAGAATAATTGTAGATGTCTTGGATTTCTTTTTTGAATACATTTCTGTAGACGTTTGAAAATTGAGCTTGGGCGGAAATTGTGCACATGAAGTTGGTGCTGGTGTTTTCCTCAAGGTTCAACGATCCCAGATAGTTGCGAAAACATTTTTAATTCTCTGACTGGGTGGGACCTTAGATACGTCCGGACAATCCAGTACCTCCTGGGTAACTTGCTTAAGAAAGGAGTGTTGCTGTTTTGTAAAGGAAGTTCATCTTCTAATTTTGGTGATATCCTGCAAGAGTATCGCAACGCCCGATTTTGCGATGTATTTTTGCGTCGGGGCCTGGCTTTGCACAGAATTGTCTTTTAGTCGGAGCCCCGATCAAATTATAACCGAGTTATGGAAGAGCGTTGTGGGATGAAAGCATTAACGTAGGAATACCTTAAACCGTGTCAGGCCCTTGAACCAACTCGTAGACCTTGTCAGAAACGGCGTCAGAAATATTCCGAATGGATTCCAAGTCCACTAATGATCGGCAGATTTTACAACGACGAAGGCGGTGGTTTTGTGCGATGGAGGTGGTGGTTTAACCTGTTTTCACGGACGGTTTTTCTCAAGTCTACGACTCGGTTCAGGGGTAAAATGCAAAAACTGCTTTCATAATTTTTATCAACTCAACCACTGCGGCGATTCAATTTTTTTTCTTCTGCAGCACATCAGAACCTTATTTCTCCACCCAAAACAATTTTTTTCCCCCAAACCCCCCCGAGATAGCTGAAAAATCTTAAGTTGACGGTTTAAGGTATTCCTACGTTAATACTTAAATGGAGAGATACAGAAGGAACCATCACTCAAGCAATCAGAATTTCTCAATAGGTTTATGAGCGTCTTAACTTTTTCATACCACAATATTATACGTAACTAACGGGGTAATGAATGGGCACCTCGATGGACTGATAAATGACTCTCCTCTGATTTGTTCGAGCAGTGTGGAACTGGTTTTTGCAGTTGCAGGTGCATGTGGAGAAGTGTGGTGAAGATGCTTCGTGAGTGAATCTGGGGGAGGCGTCCTAAGGATTGCAGACGGTGAAATTAATTTTAGTGTCTTTGTTTCCATTCTACAGATGCACTAGCAGGGTTGCATCTGCTTCTATAACAAATGTGTCACCCCTCGACAAGTGAATTTGTGGACATGCTAAGAGAAGTTTTCCTTTGAACAATTACGAACGGGGATTCACCAGCACAGAGCCCACTGATGATAAGAGGTTTCCTGGTTAGAGTCGGAACAGTGAGCAGAGCAAAATGTTGACCCTACACTGTCCTGTAGACATCTCATGGCCCAAGCTGAGGCTGCTGTTTTGTCTCTGTAATTCTGCTTCAAAATCGACTATCTTATTATGGATACCGAATCAGACTACAGAGCATTTGTCTTTGCTTCTTTCACTTCCAAGGGGGATTGTACATGAAGACTTGGGCAACACACGCTGCTGTGCGCTTGCAAGTAATGAGGAGCTAAGAGCAAACTAGGTCGAAGGAATGGGCGCTCTATGAGTTGCATGCTGACATTGGCGTAAAGAGTGTGGTCAGATAGGTTTTAACGCACAGATGCCACTGGAGAAGGACCGCACTGCATCAACCTCTGTAGGAGCAGCCACTGCGTGAGTGACTCAGAAATCATTGATGGATTAGTAACTTTGAAATGTGTCAAGTTGCTTTGTTAGCAGTAGGTCCATGAGCTTATCAAGGTTTACAGTCTGGCAGTCGATTTATCTTTGGCCTCTCTTAAAAGTAGCATAGTGGCAGTGTTAGATTGGAGCGGCATTCTGCGTGTTTCCCGCGTGAGCGATGGTGGTCCTCGGATCCTTCGACGGGGTTTTTGTTTAACCATTTTCGTATTCAATTGGTACACATTCTATCATACAAGCCAGTAGTTATAGAATTACCAAGACTTGTGCATGAACAAATTTTGAAGAAATCTCAGGTCATAACGAGTGTTCGTCTGCGCTGTAGGTCAAAAAATAGTTTCAACAAAACCTCGGGAGCATTATTTTGAATTTTCATATTGATTTAGCTGCATATGAAGCAGAACTTTTTGTAAACACCTTTAGTTATGTATCGAGATCAACACAATCGTGATAGGGTCTAATCGGACTGTTAAACGTCCTGATCAGAATAACGTCTGTGCTCAGCAATTTTGTTGGTTCCGATCAGGATTCAGCCCAAGGTAGTAACTAGTAGGGTTTACTTACTATGCTGAGAGTATGGTAACTAGTTGGGTAGTTTTTGTAAACCCCACTAGGTACTCCGTGTGTGTGTGTGTTTTTGACTTTTTGTGTTTTCTTTTTCTTTTTCATGGGTTTATTCACTATGCTAACAACCAGCGTCGCTTGAAGATGTTTCTAAAAAACTGTGAACGTCATGAGACTAGGACACAATGTGTTGTTGAAACAACGATCATGGATGTTATAATGTTCGAATGCAGGTTCTGCTTTGATCAATATACTTTACCCATTAAGCAGCACATGGTATAAGTCTCAGAAACACGAGGTTCTTAGGCCACATCAAAAAGGTAAGCTTCCGATGCTTTTCTTGGCGGTTGAATGAAGTCTCTGTTACTCATCAAACTGATTTTTATTACCAACTTGTGATACTTGTTTCATCGCCCTCTCGATGGAGGATTTTGATGTGCCCTGATACAAGATCTTTAAACAGAGATTGGCAGGGAAGAAGCAATTTGCATAAATTGCATTTTACATAATGACGATAAACTTTCTGGGTAACAGTACATCCCAGCAATCGTGCGCCACAGTATAATAGCGGGGAAATTCCTAAGATGTGGCAGTCATCGATCTATCGTTATCGAATTTGGAGAGCATAAGGGTGAATACTTTACTGAAGGGTGATTCTCAATTAGAGGCCTTTGAAGAGAGGGCTTATCACAATGCTGAGCATTAGCCTGACCATATTGTACCGATATCAATCTTTTAAGGTACAGATGAAAAAACTGATTAGAGCAGAAATCATTTTCTTTCGTTCCACTCATTAGTCACTTGTATACACATATCCTAGGCTCACCGTCTGCAACTTGTGAGAAAGTATCTATGTTTGAAATTGGCTGAAACTTTGTTGATGATGCAATGTTCATCTTGTCGGTTTAATTTAGACTAGCTGAATGAATGACCACGTTTCCGAAGCCATTTGGCGGATTACTGAAATTGATGATTGGACTTGAGATAGAATTTGATGTTTTCTCTAGCAATTAGGAAAATGTGGTGCACGTTTCCACACTTAGAAGGAAGCTTCTGCTCACGGAAATCGCATGGTTGAATCCCGAAAGAGCGATAATACAACCCGAGCTGTGACACGGAGTAAGAGGGGCTCAACTTAGCCAAAAAGGCAGGGACATGTAAGCACTACTTTTTGCCAGCGTGACCAACATGGAGAACGATGCAGCGGAGTCACTGGATAAAAGTATCTTTTGGTTTACCCCTCGCATCATCGCCAAATCTGTGGACAGGGTTCTCGGGGACACTCTTCAGCAGGGTTTTGCAACTAAACGCAGCCGGGATCTAGACAGACCTTGGATTCTCGTCATTGGTGCGGTTTAGAAAGCGAAGGACTAGCCTCCGCCCAGGTGGATGCACCGGGAAGGGAGGATTTCTTCATGTGCCTGCCACTCGCATAAAGAAATTTAGGGATCAAAAAGGACCTCCGCTTGTATGAGGACGTGGACTCAACAGGGATGCAACTCCACATTCTCATTCAGGGGTGCTGGTGCGGGGTGGGCTTCCAGGCGGAGTTTGCTTCTGCATTGCCAAGAGCAGTTTTTGAAGGGGGAGAAGCTGCTCTGCAGCAGAGGTCCTCTTCATTCCAGATACACGCGCCATAACCTTAGCTGGGACCTGCTTCTTCTTCTCCTCCTCCTTCTTCTTGAGGTGCTAAATATTTCAGAAACATGCCACTCACATTTCAGGCTCCGCCTGATAGTCGCATATCATCACTATTGAATTCCAAGGCAGCAGTAGATTCTGTACCGAGTAGTTGCCGACGTTTCGTGAGGAGGAGTAGTGCATCGCCTTTACGGCCAGACTTGGCTCTTTTCTCCTTATCGCTGACCTCAGGATTTCTAGCTAGCCGCAGCATTGTAGGAGGACCACGAACGGTTAGGAAATGGAAGAGCTCAAAGGTCAGCAGTTATCACGAAGCCAGCGGGAAAGAAGAACTAGACCAAGACACCTCCAAATTAGTGCGTCAGGTAGAGATAGTAGAGGTTGATCATGTGGTTTCTCGTGATCGGCGAGCGGAATCGTTGAAGGTCGCTGTGTTGGTAGGTTTGGTAGCCTTGCAGGTTTGCTTGCCCGCGGCCGCAGAGAGCCTGGGCATAGAAGTTGCGCGCTCCAGCGACTCCTCGGGGTTTGCCATAACTGATTGGACAGAGTTCGAGAATGGTTTCTCGTCGGCATTCCTGCTCATCTTCTTCTCTGAAATAGGAGACAAGACGTTCTTCATTGCAGCTCTCTTAGCAACACGGAAATCTAACCTCGCGGTATTCACAGGCACGTTCGGCGCCCTGGCAGCCATGACCGTTATCTCAGTAGCACTAGGACGGGCGTTTCACTACATCGACAACTTAATCCCGAGCAGTCAGGGAACAGGGCAATTCCCCTTCGACGATCTGGCGGCCGTGGTGCTGCTGGTGTACTTTGGTGTATCAACGCTGGTGGACGCAGTTTCGATGGAGGGGTCGAAAGCTGAGGACGAAAAGCAGGACGCGGAGCTGGCGATAGCGGGCGTGGCAGGGGACGGTAATTTGGGTGTTTCGGCGGCAGCAGCCAGCACGGTGGTAGCGACATTTGCCCTCGTGTTTGTGGCGGAGTGGGGAGACAAATCCTTCTTCTCCACCATTGCGCTTGCGGCGGCATCGTCGCCACTTGGGGTGGTAACGGGCGCTATAGCGGGCCACGGCGTGGCGACCATCCTCGCCGTTCTGGGAGGCAGATTTTTAAGCGAGTACGTCTCTGAGAAGCTGATAGCGTACGTGGGAGGCGCCCTGTTCCTGGTCTTCGCCGCTACAACATTAGTCGACATTCTCAAGGCGTAGCAAGATTAGAAGAAACACAGATCATGAATGACCATGATCATGATCATCTGTTTGAATTCTGGCATTAGCGGTAGTCTTCCTCTTCGGTGCTCAGCCCCGTTCATTTCATACAGGTGGGGCAAGAGAAGGTTTAGCACATTTTTGCAGGATGATTGACGATGGATTTATTTATATTCAGGCAGGACACATTCGATTCTGTCAGCCAGCCACCAGTCCCTCACAACACACTCGTGGATTCTCCTCTGTTGCATCGCATCTCCTCATTTGCTTCTCTTGATGGTCCTTTCTTGTGCTTCTGCCGCCATATCATCACCACGTCTTCGAACTTTTTTTTTTCTTTCTTTTTTCTTTTTAAATATTTTGGTTCGATTTGTTTTGTTTTTGTTTTGTTTTCCTATGCTTCAGTAGCAAGAAAAGCTTTAAGAGCAGGGAGAGCAAGGCCGCCAGCTCCTCCGTCTTTGAACCCATTCTCAATATTGTTTGTTTGGTTGTTGCCAAAAGGATATGAATGCACGAGAGATGCTGCGATTGTGGCTGTGTTGCAAAATTCCAGAAAGGGCAGATTGTAATCCATGAGATAAATTGTATTGTCCCTACGCATCCTTATAAATTGAGCGTAAAGACAGAGCATGAGCTGAGAAAGTTCACTATTTACAAATGTCTTTCTATTGCAATATCTGTCATACCTTTGCACTCAGGCGACTCCAACCAACATTCTTCTGGCAACACCAATAGCTATGCAACTTCCACTCATTTCCAAGCTTTGTGTCAAAAAGTCACGTGCTGTTAGACTACCATTGTTGTTAATGTGCAAGAATCTTTCTAGAGTATTTGAACAAATCTCTAATATGAGAAGAATATGTTCATACTTGTCATAGTTGCATGTATCCTAGATTGATTTTAATCTCATAATTGTTTGGATTGCCCACATTGTTTTTATTGGTACTTGGTTTGTGCAACGTTGTTGCAAATTAGAACAATTTAGTTAGAATTAGATAGGATCATGCTACAACATCACTGTAGATATTTTCATTATAAGTTAGAAATTGATGTAGTAAAATAAGACTAGACAATTTTTTGGAGTCAATTCTACCTTGTATTTGGAGGCAAATCATTAGTTTAGAATAATATGCAATTAAAATGCTTTCAAATAAGTATAATCCTTAATATATTTGCATATTATTAAATATTAATTAACCTCAATGTTTTTTACATAAGAACATTCAAATCATGTGCTAACTATCCATGAACTTTGATTATTTGTTTTTTTACATTATAAAAATGAATTTTGAGCTCTTAGAAACTAATTGCAATTTAATTAGCAATCTATGATAATTAGAACATGTGGTTCCTTAAGAAAGTCATTTAAGACATAAGAGATGTTGTGTTATCATCAACTAAAAAATATTAACAATTATTAGTATGATTACAATAGTCAAGCATCTTCCAACATCTTCTTACTAGTCAATCAAGCAACAAATGGATTATTCTATTTCAAATGTTGCACGAAAAAGAACAAGAATATAATTTGAAAGACTTAAAGTAATTCTAATTTTCATACTCAATTTCTCAAGTATCATGGTCACTAATACTTAATGTCTTAAGTTGATGGCAATTATGTAAAATTTCCAACAAAAATAAGAAAACTTCCTCTATTTCTTCTTTCATGATAATTTATTTTCAAACAACAATTAATCTAGTGATTATGCATTTGATGACATACTTCTAAAAGAATAGAATGATGGATGTTGCATGCACTAAGGCAACTACAATAAAGTAGTCATGATGTTTGTTTATAATTCAACATAAATATGGCAATGCATCTAAGGATCCAAATAATTGTTTATAATGTTTTAAATGTTACAATTGCATCAATACCTAGTGAATGTATATTTTCACAAATAAGATTGGTTATTAGTATTTGTTAAGGATAGCTTGGTAGTAATAAAGTTTAAGCCATTTGTGAACTCAAACCTTTTTTCAAATTTAATGAAAAATAAATCAATTTTTCTTGTAATTAAAAATTAAAAAGAAATTTCATTTGCATCTAATATAGTGATTGTGTTAATGTAACTTACATTGAATTATATATCTTTATTAATGGAGATAATTTAAGATAGGTCATAATATCTTTCTTTGTTTTAGTAAATGTACAAACTTGATATTACAAAGATGGTTATACTTAGGAAACCTTCAAAATTGCATCATTATTGATCATCAACAAATATGTCATTATAGGGCTTCTTACAATTTAATCTCTTCATCATTTAAATAAAATAGTCTTTTCCATCTTTTTGTTTCTTTCTACAAACCTCTTTTTTTGCCATGTAATATTGCTATAACAAATTGAGAGTATTTTAACACTCTTTTTTTTCAGCTGAAAAATCTAAAGACCTAGATGGCTAGTTTTTGAAGTAATTATGTGTTTGTTCAATATTAATGACATTAATAATTTTATTTAGTTTAAATTTAAAGAAAAAATTAATAGATAAATAAAAAATAGCTTAAAATAAATATTTCAATAATTTATATTATCTTTTTGATATTCTTTAAGAAATTAATTTGATTTAAAACAAACACAAAGACAAATAAGAAAGGACAAACAATACATTTGTATATTAGAAGAAAACAATGAGTTTCCATAGCATAAAAGTTTTCAATATTAACATAGAAAGTAATTCAACTAATGCCAGTATAAGATCAACCTCCCTTATTTGAATGTGTATTAGTCTTTGAAACATGATTGTCTTAATAAAAATCTATTCATCTACTATTGCAGTGTAAATCATGCAATCTAAAATATTAAATTTAGCTTACTTAGGTCACAATTAAGCTTTAGAAACATATATAGATACATAGAGGCAATAAGTGATTGTATGACTTCTTCCAAACAAGAAATACACCACTAAGATGGTACAAAATTTTGTAAAAGCTTTCCATTGCACTACTCAACAGTTTGCTGAGATACCTAAGGATTTTCACAGTTTTACTAATGCCATCTGTAAGTGTGAAGTAAGTTTTGAAGTGCTCCAAGACACGTTGTCCGCCTTAAAGCTTTGCTATGGTTAATCAAATTGCAAAAATTCCAAATTTACACACACAAACTCTTCATTCTTATCAAGAATACATCTCTTATAGTGTCATACTTCTGAGATATGAAACTTTAAATCCCAATGTATCCAACTCAAAATCAGTGAGCATATAAAACACAAATATTCTATTGACACACAAAAATTAATCCACAACTCACATCAATCATGAAAACACTACATTTTCTTAAATTATAAACAAAAACAAAACTTTAAAACCAACAGTAAACGGGTTTAAATCTAACATTCAATTAATTCAAACTTGGTTTTGAAACTGATGTTAAATTGGTTCCAAACCGATTGAAAATTTGGCCAACTCGATTAGGACCAATGTAACAAAACCCAAACTAGTTTAACCAGTTTTAAACCAATTGTCACAGCTATTCAAGATGTTACAATTACAGAATATTTAAATAACAATAAAATTCATAGTACATTAATTAGATGTAATTGCAAGTAAAGCAAATATAAATTTTAAAACTATAATAATTTTTTTAAAGATAATAATAAAAAATAATACTGCATGAAGTGGAGAAGCAAGTGGAACAATCCTATTGATGAGATTTTGCTTGTTCTATAGGGGGAGAGGGACGAGCAGTGTCGCTCATAATCTCCACTCTACTCCACTCCACTCCCACACCCCTCCTCCTCCTCCTCTATGCCCTCTATACCATTCTCTTCTCTCCTCTTCTATACGTACTATACTATATATTATACCATTTCCTTCTTAATTCCCCCTCCCCAGTCTGTGTTGTCTTGTCTTGTATTCCTCATCATGTTCTAGTCCCCTTCTTTCTGGGCTCTCCCAATTTGATGGCCTTTCCTCAGTGCAATTCGGATTTCCCAGAGAGCTATTACTATGAGCGTACTGAGCTTATGGCAGGTGGGACTCACGTCGTGGCAGTTGTCTGTGGTGCTGCTCTCCAGCCCTAATTAATTAAAGAACACAATTTTACAAAAAGCACACAAAATATAACAAACAATAACCCTGGATGATGGATAGATCCATGTAATATTTCCACGGGGATGGCCACGAACAAAGGGGCCCTGGATGCGTGTCTGATCAGTGAGTAGTACATAGTGTCGCCTCGACCTTGAAGGATCAGCGACCAACTTCCAACTCTCCACAACCAGCACTCCTTCCTCTTCCTCGTCACTTTAGGGTTTGAGGTCTTGGCCAATTCAAGGGCTTGCATCGGATTCACCCCTCATTTAGCAGGAGCAGTCTTAACACCGCGCCTGGTTGTGCTTTAATTTTGTTGTACTTCCGAATTGACGGGAGGTTGGCGCACTTCTGAGAGGCAGAGACGTTGAACTTTGTATTTGTGAGCACAGGGAGCAGCCATGCCCAAGAAAATGGGCACCAACAGCAAGGCGGAGGAGGCTCGGACGCGCAAAGCTGAGGCACATGTGGAAAAGAAAGTGAAGGAAGAGCGGCAGAAGGAGGAGATGTATTGGAAGGAGGCCGAGGGTCATGTATCAAAAGCGGCGAAGAAGCGAGAGGAAGAGGCTGAGCGGAGGTCCGAGGTTGCTGCCAAGAAGCTTGAAGCCAAGAAATTGGCGCAGCAAGAGGAGAAGGAATTGGAAAAATACGGGAAGCGTGAGGACAAGAAGGTCACGCGCGTAGCTGTCCCCGTGCCGAAAGTAACAGCTGTGGAGCTGGCAAGACGGAAGGAGGAGGAGCAGTCGGCGTTAGCAGCTCAATCTGCGGCGGCGAAAAAGAAGGAACTTCGGACGAGTGGTCCGGAGGAGTATGAGAGGTTGGTTGATGTGGCGAACCGGAATCGGGAAGAGGATCTTCTCGACGCGCGGGACTTGGAGACGGCGTTGGCGCAGATCGGGACCCTGAATGCTCCTGAATTACCCGCCGATCGGCATCCAGAGCGAAGATTGAAGGCTTCTTACAAGGTATATCTGCATATTTTTGAAACAGCCCAATGTTGTGTAACTGTTACGGATCATTGGTTTCAATCGGCATGATGAGAGTCTATGCTATATATATATATATATATATATATACATACATAATCCTTTATCAGCAACCTTATCGTCAGGAGTGGTAGTATTCTCTTATTCTCACCCCAACTTTTGTTTAACAGGCTTTTGAGGAGGTAGAGCTACCAGCACTGAAAGAAGAGAAACCGGGTCTGACGCACACACAGTACAAGGATATGTTGTGGAAGATGTGGAAGAAATCGCCCGACAATCCTCTAAACCAGGACAAATGAGGAGACTCATGTCTGTCACGATTTGTAACCAGTGTGTTCTCTTCATAACCTGCACATTACAGTCTCGAGGTCTTGAATTCCCTCACTGGAGCAGTGTTCATAGACCCCGAAAGTTGCAGAAAGGTTCAAGAAATGTGATGTTTTTCCTCACTGAGGATGGCAGTGTCTTGCTTCAATGTAGCGTCTCCACCAAAATTCAGCGTATAATTGAATAGTTGTAATGTATAGAGAGGTTCCAAGAGGTGAAACCCAAGAGCTACTTCCTGACGGAAACGGGTGACACGTAAAAAAAAAAAAAAACAAGTAATCGTCTCTACGGAACGCATTGGCCTCGTTCAGATGACGTGAAACTGGCAGATCCATATCCATGTTGTGGTGGGTGGGGCTGACGAGGTGAAGCAATGAACGACCTACATTACCTTATGGGGCCGCACATACTTCGTGTTGCACCAGGCCTTGGCTCTTTGCATTTGGTTCGAAGGTTTTATCCTTTTCAGTTCCGTCCGCTCTCTGCTTTCCCTTTAGCATTTGGGCCTGAAGTTCTGATGTTTTACAGAGTTGACCATCAGCATGCGTCTGCATGTCTAGTGAATATAGTGACCAGGTATTCCTATTGGGATTTGCAAGCATTTCGCTCATTTCATATGTTTAATGGGTATATATTTCAAAAGTAACTGACTTAAATATTCCTGTTTGACCTTTCATAAGCTTTTGATAAGTATTTTTTATCTATGATTTGTTGCTTTTGATATCTGTCAAACATCTTCAAAAGAATATCATTATAGACTACATTGTTCTAATTTTTTTTCACCATTTTTTATTTTATTTCAGTTGCTTAATTTGGTTGCATAGTTTGATTGTTGATTTTGTAATATTTGGTAACTATTAATTAAAATTGAATACTTAATATTATACAAAAAAAATAAATTACAAGCTTACTTAAGTGAAAACATAAATACTATTCAAATAAAAATTATATATATATATATATATATATATATATATATATAAATGTGTGTATGTATGTGTGTGGGTGTGTGTTATTGAAAACCCATGTGTTTGGCCACTAAAAAGTTGTAATTTGTGGTTGCTTAGTCAAAAATTGACCACTTCCATAGAAATGTTGATCTAGAAGAAAAAAGAAACAAAGAAGAGTATATGCATAACAATGAAATCATTTATATTTCTTTACTCCAATTGACAAACATAATTTTTATTTATTACTTAAACAACTAAGTTAAAAGAACTTTGGAATAAACCACATTTACATTTCTTTGTGTTTTCTTTTATACAACCAATCAAAAGGCTTCTTGGTCTCTTTTGTATTATATCCAAGTTTTCTTATATAATTTTATAATTCAAATATTTTATAATTTTTATTAATTTTTAAGCTGAAACATTTCAATATAATAATCACCTATTTATTTATTTATTTATTTATTGATATTTTTTTGTTTAGTCAAAACATTGATAAAAAGTTGCCTATAAGAAATAAGTTGAACTTATAAGCACAAATAGAACTATATATGAAAAACTTATTCTTGAATGGAATCAAAGGTCCTTATTGCAAGCAATGCAAGTTTTTTTGTTGTGTTTCACCCAGTTTAAACAACTCTCATTGTAAGATTGATGTGAAAGCAAATCCATTGACAATTGAAGTAAATAAGTCTATCCATAAAGAAGACAAAAATCATCTCTTATAATTAAAGCACCATAAGCCTATCCATCAAATTTCAAAAACTAAAAGATATGTATGACACTTAAAAGAAGAAGAAAGCATTTGGAAAAATACTCATATGTTATATATCTAATGCAACATAATTACAATACATTATAAACTTACATAAAAATAAATAAATTAAAAAATATTATATTTTCTATAAAAAATTTAAATTTTCTTTTATAAAATAAATAAAAAATAAAAAATAAAAATAGATCCTCAAAAAAACATATTTTGGTTTTTAGTATAAATTCTAATCTATCATTTAATATTCTATTCTATTTTTAAGAATAAAAAATGCATGCACAATTTATTTTTTATTCATTTTAAAATTATAAAAGTAAAAATATCATAGAGAATGGCTCAAAGAATTTAAAGATTAAAAAGTAGATGCTTTAAATTCTATATAGAATCTATGTTTATAGGAATACTAACAATGAACCACAATGCACATTTTTTAGTCACCAATTCATGGATACAAACTTTTTCTAGTAGACAAAGTAAGAGCATAAATATATGGAGTAGGGGAGACAAAGTAGGCTTCTTCAATACTTGAGCTCCAATGTACAAATCCAATCTCTCACAATTGTTGTCCTTATGTGTCAAAATCCATAGTCTAGCAATCTCCTTTCCAATCTTGTACTTCATGTAAGCATTTATGAGCCTCATGCTTCAATTGCTAATGTCTACTTCCATCATTCACTTGTTTGGTAAGAGTTGCGATATTTTGGTTCTTGGTTGGACCCCACTAGTTTATTATTTTGGCAATGTTGCAACTTTAAAGGCCTTTCAATCTTTGCTTTTGCTTGTGTTGATCCTCCTCACCTTTTTGGATCCTAAAACAAACTACTAACAACTTAATATAAATACCACCAATTCAACATATTTGTTAAGAAAATCCTCATGTTTTTCATTTGAAATTATACTTAAAAAATCATACCTTCAATGCAACATCTCTTGCAATGGTTCAAAAAACAAATCAAGACAACATTTGATTGATTAGTTGCAGGTTATGTAGTACAATAGATCATCAAAACATACTTGTTGTGAACTCCCAATGGATAGAAGCATGTATTGAGCCCAAAGCATTTTTGGTTCATCATTACTTTTAAATACTTCGACTTCAAAGCCTTTCTTAGATTGATCTAAAACATTATCAACCAATCGACTACTCCAAAATAATTATAGAAATTAAAAACTTAGACATTCATTATAAATCTATGAGTATCCATTGCATAGGATTGTACTTTAAGATTACATTGTTTCCAATATCATGGATTTGTAAAAAATCTTTTGATATGATCAACATTAACCAAGTAATATTAAGGCCATGTAAACTCAACTTTTGCTTCACTTTTGATGAAAACAATGATACATGCACTCAATTAGAGATGGTTTTTGTCTCCTCTTCTTTGTCCCATTGGTTTTTCCCCTAAGTTGTTCTATATGAAAAATGTGTATATATTTACATAATTTTATAATAAGCGTAGAGTAAGATTGACATTTAAGGCTTGTTTTTGCAATAACTTTTTTTTTTTTGGCATTTATACATGCAATAATACCCACAATGGGGCAACAAATGATTTTACAAATACTTGTATTTATAACAAATCTATTTAAGAAGGTATCTTACAAGATAGTGTTTTTACAAATTTGAATTCACCAAAGGATTGTAGAAACCAAACTTATGCTCACAATGTTGAACAATACATTCATGCTGGATGGCTTAACCCCCGAACTTCACACCAAACACTAGCGTCCAAACTCATTCAATACTGGAAAGGTGCAGAACGTCACACCTACTGAAAGATTTGTCTTCGTTTCAACAGCATTTGCTACTTGATTGTCATTGATGCTATTGGTGTCATTAGAATTTCATCTAGTTCACCATATAGCCTCTGAAATACAAGATTTACGAGGGAGTGAGAGTTGGCTATCAGATTCAGACATTTAGACTTGAATGGAGCTGTAAATCAAAAGTAATCGTGAGGATTTCATGTATTTCATTCGGCAGCCTTCGTGTTACAAATCCATACCTAGCATTCCTGCGATCTCTGTATTATAAAAAAACCACCTATGAAGTCGAAAAATTTACAATGAGAGGCTCTGCTTGGCTGTCCATGACTGTCCTGGTTGGAGCTCCACTGGTGAAAGCTGAAATATGCATAGAAATGTTTGTCATAAGGACTAATTCCACTTGGCTAGAAAATAAGTAAACACGTAGCGAAGGCGACGAGTGGGATCAGTTTGAAAGAAGAAATACATACTTGAGCATTTTCAACACAGACGAAATCCTTGTAGCAGGCCTCCATCGTCAAATAGGGATTCCAAAGCACTGCATCTGTCCATCTGCAAAGCCAGTCCATTTTTGAGGTTAAATTGGTCATATAAAAGGATATCAAGATACTTTTCGTAAGATTCCGTAATGAAGCTGCTTAATGAAGGTAGCTACATCATGCACTTAGGTACATAAAACTTTATGCAAATGGACTTGAGAAGGAAACAAACCCTTCGTTTCTAATGGAAAGCTTCTCGCCAAGTCCGTTGTCCAATACCAACACATTTGGGGTGTTCATGTACATGGTATCCACAAATCCTGGAAACTCAATCACGTTCCTGCACGTATGGTACATTTACAACTTCCATATCCAAACTCTTCTATACATGCAAATCCAATACAAATTGTTCCTCAAAAGTTTTAGTTATACTGCTACAGTTCTAATCATCACCTATGTAGAAGAACAATATTCAGATCGGCAACTAACCTATCTTCTGAACCCTCAACAGGATTCGCAGGATCCTCATACGGCTTGTCCAATCTCTTGCATCCTTTCAATCCCGTCACTGATGTCTTCGAAACGTCAGCCTGTAATATTGTTTACAAGAAATATTTAAGGTACGACTTCATCCAGTAGAAAAAAATAATAAAAGAAAAAGACGAATAAAAAGAATATATGTCAGGAATTTATGAAGAATCGAATTGTGTTCAAAATTGCACCCGACTGTAGTACAGTCATGTGACGCACTCACCCGGAAGTACGAGTGAAGTGCAGTAGTGAAAGAGAAGGACTTTGTGTCGGTGTTTTCCACAACCATCTCCGTCGTGAGTTTCTTCTCTCCCAGCACAATCTATGTATTAAGACACAGAACCTTCTACTGTTAAAACAGGCTTTTTAGGATCAATGAGCTACTTTCTCTTAGTGAATCCCCGTCGAAACAAAATTCAATAGTGTAAAAACCAAGATCCCTGCAAGTAAAATTACCTTGAATCCAATGCCAGACTCTAGATTCATGTAACCTCGAGCACAGACAACAAGTACAGAAGAATTTTGAGGCTATAATATATTCTAAGAGTGAAGGCCTACCTTGAAAGTGACTGAGAATTCATAGTTCCATATACTGCGACTGTAGTCGCTTGGTTTCAAACCTAGCACAAGAGTTGGAGATCCGCCATCGTTTTGCGTGCTTGCAATATCCCATGTAACGTTCCGAGCAAATCCATGCTGCCATCAGAGGCCCGTCAAATACATACACATATGACATTCATATCTGCATTCCTCAACAAATTCATCACTTAGCATTAATTGCTGCATGATTTGAAGTAGGAGTAAACACTATGATTTGTACCTTCCAGTTGATCCTTAAAAATGCCCAGCGATATTTCTAAGAATTCATCACTACACCTGCATGGATTCTTGTGAAATTACCTGCTGAATAACTCCTGGACCAAATTGAGGGAAGCAATGCGGAAGCCCCCCGCTGCACCGTCAAAACAGTCTCAGTACATAGATCCATCATGCGGAAAGAGAAGAACACTGTAGTAAAGGTTGCGATACTTGCAGGATGTTTGTGATCAACAGAAGTATTGAGTCTTTAAAGTAACCTGTACAAATATGGTCAAATTCAGTAAAAAGTTTCAGCTTTTCTCAACCTCTATGATTACAAGAAATATACATGCATGAGGAGTGGGGCATCACCTAATTGGCTTCTTTCCGGTAAAGACAGCATCTGGCCTTACGAACAACAGGTCTTTGCCTCCAGCTGCCTTCCACGAAGTAACGCATCCTCCGTACAAGTAAACCTCTGCCTCACTACTTACCAAATATGACAGAAAACACGAGATTACTAAGTAAAAATCTCGTAGACATAGAAATTCCAGTGAATATCCACCGACACCACAACCCATTCCATAGGGGCAAATTCAAGGAGTGTCCTTACATTATTGTCAACATCATACTGCTATGTGACAGATAATCGCAGAAACTAAGAACTTGTGTGGTTAGCACACCAATAAGACAACAAGAGAGCACGAACATAATACCACAGTACTGGGAGAAAAGCACCTGCCGTCTCGACCTGATAGTACAACTTTGGTAAGGCCACCCTCCCCACTTTGCACCTTCACTCCTTCGGTTCCATACTTTTCATTTAAATTCTCAGCTTCTGCTGAGACACTGCTTACATGGAACGATTGAGTTAGTACTAGAATTGTAGTACTGTGACCTTCATCGTACGCACATTGAAGTTGAGTCATGGAGATTAAAGGATCTCGTCGTTTGATAGCATTACATCAACACTGAGTGAATCATTAATCCTCAAATTGCCTATCACAAAACACGACAAAGTATCCCCCAGAGCTGCAAACTTGAGGATGATTTCGTCTCTCTCTAAACTTTGCTCAATATGAATCAGAGTTCCAAAAGTTTGGCTCCTGAGAATTTCAGATTTAGACCTACAGCTAAATGAAAGAGCACTATCGTAACTCTGGTTATTCCGGAAAGGATTTCGAAGTGCGCATCTGTGGCCTAGACGAGACGTAAATTTCGTGCTCAATTCCTTCCACATTGACACCATCGTCCAGTCCAATCCAGAAGTGCGAAACCACCACAAAGACTATGTCCATCTGACCTACCGTCCAGATTCAGTATTGTCACATCACAACGACAGACCCCAGCATCTAAACTCTCTCATTCCTTAAAAATCCCTCCAAATTCTACCAATGCTGAACCCTCATTCTTACCCAGTGGCCTGAGAAGCGCGCGGAGCCACAACGCTGGACGGCAATCCACTAGGCGAGGAGACCGTCGAGGGAAGAGCACCATGGAAGGGCGATGAGCGCTTCCATGAGAGGGAGCGAGAAGATGTGGAGGCAGCGTGTGGGAGCGATGGCGCGACGCCCAGAGCGAACGCGGAGGAGCAGATTGCGCTGGAGAGTTTGAGCAACGCCATGGTTGTAAATGCAGCGAGAGCTCAACAGGCAACGCGAAAACACAAGCTTCTACCCTCAGCTGAACTGCACAGAAGAATATCTTCGGCAATGTGTATTGAGGATATTCCGCGCATCCAATAATCAACTCATTCCAAGCAGGTCCATCCATTTCCAACCAGTCGCCGGCCTTCCCTTGGTTGATCCTTTCGCATCAAGCAGACTTCAATTGAACTGTTGTGGATTTAGTTTTGTTGCAATTCAGCAAATGTTTAATTTGATTTGTTACCCTACAGACATATACACTTGGAATAAAATGTCCCAAATGAGCATCATTTGAATCCACTTTCACATGATAAACACACTACCGAGTAGCTTCAGAACAAGCACATTATTAGATCGCAGGGACAGATTTCAGTTCGTGGAAATGTATTTGTACTACCTTGTAGAAACAGATTTTACACACAGGGCGTGATACTGCAAAGAACTTATACAGGTCAAGGTTTAGCTGCCTTAGACCCATCCCACCGTCACGTCACATACAGGGCTACTGCGTGGAATGTGGTTGGTTTCAATGAAATGAAACTCAACCTATGTGACTGCTATGGCATAGAACCCCACTTTGGCCTCATAGAAAACTAGACGGAAGAATATACGAACATGAAGTAGGGATGCACTGCAGATGCAACACGGCGTTCATTTTCAACTTGCACCAGACTGCCAATAATCAATTATTTTTTGCTTGGATCGCAGAACTTTCTTCTGTAAAGACTGCTAATAAACTCTGCAATTAGATTCAAACAAAATATTAACTACGACATGATTGATTTTCAAATTTGAGAAAAACCTCGCATGCCATGTCAGCGACGAGAAGGCGGTAACATGGATCAGTGGAAGAATCATACTGCTACCAGACCTCCGAAAATCTCCACTTTAAATAAAAGAGACAATTCGGCCGCCATGAAAAGGTTCAAAACACCAGACACATATCGATGGAGATAAAATCGTGTTCAAATACTTCCTTCGATTGACAGGATGGCCAATAACTCGCCTCTTGACATTTCAACTAGACAACAATTTGAAGTCCAATTCCGTTCAATTAATGCCTTCCATTACTAAAAGAGTGCCAAGGAAGATAACCCAACACCACGTTAAGTTCCAAATCGTAAATATCATTTGCTAACCCATTCAAGTATTCCTCTAGATCATCTCGAGCTGAATTACGTTGTAAAGTTCTTGTACGACGACGTGAATTACAACAGACACAGCTTCCTGGTTTTACAAAGTGCGGAGTTAACAAATATACGGAGAGGTGTACACAAACTCCTTGCAAGTAAACCGACACATCAAATACCTTTCAGATAGAAATCTGATTTCGATATCCGATTGTTGACCATCTGTTGAGATGGTAGGATTGCAAATCATTAGTCACTACACTTCGAACATATGTGTTATTGGATGATATTACAGTCGCCCTTCGCAATGTGTGCCTCTAACCGAAAACCGAAGGCAAATTCATAGACCAGCCCAATCCTGCCAAACCAGGATAAACCTAATACAAGTGGTCACTTCTTACGCGAAGATTCATGTTAACGTAACGCACATGCGTGAGTACCTTTTCCAGCTTTCCTTTCGCCTCTTGTGCTATGGGCACAGGCTTTTAAGCCTGTACACTACAAACTCCTGATAATCAGTGAAGTAAGTCATTCACTCATGCAACAGATAAAATTTATATACCACAGTTTGCATAGAATACCATATCTTTTTGAGTTCAAAGATGCACTAACGTGATGACATTTCTTATGACAAAATATATACAAGAACCACATTCCTATAAAGTGTGATGGGCTTTACATATGGTAGTTTCTTGAGTGTCTATGCAGGATGTCACGCTCAAATTTAGGACCTCGCGCCCAGGTAACATGTCACAGTTAGCAAGTTACCGATTCACAAAAATCCCAAAGCCATCTTAAGCAGTCTGCCAACAGAAGTCCACTGACTACTTCGAAATCTTGGCATCGCACAAACAGACGTTAAAATCTCTGCATACAAACAACATTGCCTTCCTCCGAAGTACGCTCACTCATTTGCAAGGGATTCAACCAAATAACAAAAAGCGTTGCTGGAGAAACACAGAATGCGCAACTCACCAAGTCAGTTGCGTTGGTGACCACGCCATTTGCAGGGAGGGTTGTGACAGCGCCCGCATTGCTCTTGGTAGTATTAAGAGTAGACTATTGCAAGAGCAACTTCACAACACCCTGACACCTCCAACCTGATGAGACTCGAAGAAAATATGCGCAACAAACTCTATTCTCAAACGCAGAGAGCATTGAAATCGATACTCCCTAACAAGATACTGTAAAGCCAGTTTACCCAAAGGAAAGTCATAAACGCACAACAGTTCAGATTTCACAAATCTAAGAGGAAACCAGACCAGCAGAAGAACCATATGCAACCCCGCGAATTAAGACCTTGTGATTCATCTAAGGGCTGTCGACGTTCCACTAGCGTGAACATGTCGCATCAAACAATCTCTATAACAAGAGTATTAAAAATGAACCCGAGCTCTTGAAACTTTCACCAATCAATGAGATACGACTGGAACCTCATCAAGACGTGGCTCGTTTAATCTGATAAATTGACAAACTCATAGAACAAAGAGAATCAGCGCATTGCCCCTTGTACACTTCTCCACCGTCCTTATCTCAAGTTTCTTTCCACAGGGCAACACGAGAAAACTTCGCCACTGATCATTAACAAACTCTGAAAACAAACCGGATCATCTGCAATTCAAACCGTCCTAATCGACAAATTCTAGCCAGATACTTCAGCTGATCTAATTCATGTTCAAGCAAATGCAAACAGCAATCAGGATTCATTCACCTCCAGTCATCTCTCAAGGTTACGACCCATCACAACGCATCCCGATGATCCACTGTACTGGAGACTGGCTTCGAAACCGCTCCACCGAACATGGCAGCACTTGTAGCGAATGAAAAACTGTGGTGCCGTCCCAGCCGGCCAAGATAATGCCAGAGCCAGTAAGTATAAGCAAGTTGAAGGGATGACAAAATAAGGGAGGTTGCCAGCACATCAAACCCTATACTCCACATTTTGTGATCCGCGTTCAAAGAGAACTGACCCCCGGATTTAAGGCCGGGGCGGCAACCCCACGAATCAACTACTGCGTATTTACTTTTCAAACAATCTCAAGAACACCAGATAAAGTTGCCTTCCTTATCGCGTGCAAGCCATCTATGAGTTATCAAGAGCTTCCCTCTTGCCGTTGTGTAATTAATATCTCAACATCCCATCATGCCAACTACTCGCTAGCTGTAACGCATCCAGAGTCCAAACTAATGCTAAGATATGGCGGCAAACCTTCTCAATAAAAATCTGCAGCAATTCTTAGTTTGAACCGACAACAAATGAGGCCAAATTGATGGAATAATTGATGTATTAGTCTTGTGAGCAACTTTCTTGTGATACACAGAAGTGTCCAACCAAGGGAAACATCACTTCACTTCGTGAGCCTAATGATAGCTAGTATATTAATGCTTATGGTAGCCATCTCAATTTGAATGGCGAAGTGCTAATTATACTCCCGACAACTAATTCAATGGCCGCAAGAAGCAAGAGTATCCTTCAGTCCTAAATATGGTTTTTCAGGTCATAGAAATCGTCCTTGAATACCTGTTGAGCTTCATCAAAGAAAAGCTTTCACTCATGCTCCAGCAACTGGCCAGTAGAATACCTTCAAGAAATGTTCTGGTGCTAACCTATTTCGAACAGGCAAAAAAAACTTATCGAGTAAGAAGATATCTCTGTGGTCTGGACTTGAGTGAAATCGTATTGCCCTCCACTACGAATTTTGAACTCTTCAGCATCTGCATCAGACCCGATAAAACAAAGTAAAACAAACAGCATAAAGGCAACATGCTCTGCCATGGACATTATATAGACTGAATAAAATTGAGGCACTAGAATTGCTTCAACCAATCATACACGAAAAAAATAAGCTAGACTGAAATGGCTCGGACACGAAGATGGGTTGAAGAGTTCTCAAAACACACCACTCAACACTCAACAAGACAAACAAAAGAGCATTCAAACATGTGTCAACTTCACATCTTCAAACCTACCATAAAAATGTAACTACAATTTTAAATACCTTATCTCTAAAGCGAACGGCATCGTCTTTACTTGAGAATAAACCAGTGGATGCCGTAACTCTCCTCTGCAGTTTCTTTAAGCTCGTCTTCTGCTCAGCAGCCTGTTCGTAGAGGAAATGAGGAACAAATAGATCGATTAAAAGAAGTAAAAAGTATCATAACCCCAAGTATATCAACCAATCGATACGCTAAGATTTTGCAGGTTAATATTCCAAATTCAAGACTGTAAAATACTTATGATTAGCACCAGCCAAACAAAAACTTTATGGAGCAACCTCATCAGTTACTACTGAGACTTCGGTACAACAAAACAAAACAAAACAAAACAAAAAAAAAACAAACAAAAACAAAAAAAACAAAAACAAAAACAAAAACAAAAAAAAACAAAAAACAAAAAACAAAAACGAACGATCGGGAAAGGGAGGCAGGGGTGGTGGGAGGGAGGGAGAGGGAGCGGGAAAGAGAAAGAGAGAGAGAGAGATGGAGAGAGAATTCCATCAACGAGCTTACACATAAGAAAGTTCTGACCTCTGCGAGAAACTGTGCTACCAATTCTTTCAACTTGATTTTAGATCCCTCCTGGAGGACAGCTTTGAAACCGGAAGTCTCATCTCTTTTCCTTCTCTTTGCAAGTTTCTTCTCAATTACCGGCTCACTTTCTTGACTGTCACTAATAACTGATCCTTGTACTTCATCTTCATCACTCGCTTCAGCATTAGCAAATACTTTCTTCTGTCCTGGACGTGTTGAAATCTTGACTCCCCCAATCTTCAAAGCCCTCTGATCTTGTCCTAAGCCCTTTTTCCCTGAGGTGGCCTTCTCCTGCATTTATCAAGATAAAATTTAATCTAATGTGCACTAGCATGCCAAAATTTCTATCAAAAAATAATAAACGTCTAGGATTTACCTAGAGAAGAACCATTCACCGTATTCGTTCTTACGATTGACCATCCAGGACAAGGTCGGACGTGACAGACCCTCGGCTCATATTGTGACCAGCTGGAAGCAATGCCATTTCTCATTCAAAATTCAAATAAGCACCTATAGATTAGGGGTTAGAGAGGATAAAGGCCACTCACGTTCACAAGGTTGTAAAGATTTTCCTGGTCTTGTTCAGAGAATACGGTTCGACCATTCTGACATTGCCTTTCTCCATTGACAGTCTGCCTAACTTTTGAACCAAGCGCCCCCCCTCTCACAAAACCATATTTAGTGCCCCACCAATCTGCGGCTGGTTCTTGTAGAGAAACAGACTCCTCGCACTCCATTTCAACAAACATAAGTTCCTCCTTGGACTCCACGACCGTCCTTTCCACTGCAAAAACAAAACGAAATCGCCCAAGTTGGAAGTTACAAGGATGCAGTTTATGCAAATAGAGGATACAAGGACGAAGTAGGACAAAAGAGCATTATCAAACAAAACACGAAATTTATAGAGAAATGACAGGTAAACAAAGTAACTCACTTTCAACAATTACTGTCGGGGCCTGTGCAGGAGCTGCCGCAGCAATCTCTCTTTCCTCTTGGACCGAGGGCACATCATCAACAGAATCATCATCACTACTGTCTTCATCACTGCTGGCTTCATCTCTACTGTCTGTTGAACAAAACACGTGCACTTACCACTCAGACATTATCTAAATGCATAAACAGCAGCACTCTGAAATAGAGCTGTGAGGACTAAAAACACGCATGTACAATCCTAGTTCTAACAAAGCAGCGTTGTACATACGTCAGTCGGATAGACGAACAGTTTGGGAGCAAAAATAAATTACACGGTTTCGTTGGTATGCAGAGACATACCCTCCTTAACTTCTGGTTCAGTCATTTGCTATGTCGTGCCACACCAACCAGCAGACCAAGGTTCAGTAAATTCATCATAGACCAAAAGAAAAGTCATGTATTCTGTGGGGAACATTCATATTTAATTCATCATAAACTAAGTGAGTGACTTCACTGACTCCTTGCCCTCAACAACGACTTTATATGCCAGAAATCCTAACAAAAGATCAATACATTAAATCTAACCACTTTCAGGTTCTTGAGGATGTTGTCATAATTCATGACTCTGACTGTATGTAATGTCCAGTTGGCTGCTGCTTTCTTTGCGTCATCCGTACCAACACCTTCATACCACAGCCTCTTGTTAATGTACTGTTTCATAAAAGCTGGGATTAGCTAAACTGGTCCAGTTACATTAACGAATAGGGATTCCGTACTGAATCGTCAGTCTGGATGTACACTGGTCAATGTTGTAATGCTTCTTAAAATCGCCGGTTCTTCGACTAAAACAGAAAAGCAGCACGAAATGCAAGGACCGTTGCAGAAACAAGGTGTTTCGAATAAGCTTCTTAGGGGCACAACTCGTGTCTACAGTACACGCAGTATTCCGACTCTTTGCAAATAAACTAAACGGCTGAGACTATTATCCAGGTTTTAGTATCACACAAGACATCAAGGCGTAGCTTGAAACCAAAGTAGACAGGCAATCTAGCGACGGATGATTAACTTCTGTAGCCTTGAAGCCTATGATCCAAGAGAAACAACCCATATTTCATCGATCTAGTTCTAATATTTGCTGGGCAACAAAGCAGTTTAAGTAGCTTTGAAGTTGCCATTCATATTCCTGGAAAACATTGTCATGACTTAATCTCTTACCCTATCTATAATTGGAAGAATTGCAGGAATAATGCTTAGGACAGTATTTTTCTAGAAAAAATTAGGGTTTAAGGCAGGGTCACGGAGGAGCGCAATACCGTACCTGAGTTGTCTTTTCTAACTTTGACACGGATATGAGATGTAATCCCTTGCCTTTCCTTTCCAAGGCCGGACCCTTCCTCCCACCCCTACAACAAAAGACGCAGGATGTTGGCGCCAGAATGAAATGCACAATGGGAAACAGCAGACAGATATCGAATTAATGAAAGGTTGAGAAAATACCATGCGAGTCATTAGGCGGAAGGCTTTGGAGTCTTTGAGAACGCCTTGGTACAACGCAGGGGGTGCAGGGGGCTCCATGATGTGTAGGTAGTGTGCAGACAGAGAGTGAGAATCAGTAGACAATGGGATAGGGCAAAATACGTCAACAGACGAACACACCCAGCCGCAGCCGAGCCAAGAGTGGATTGCAGGGGCAACACAGAGTGCGTGGAATGCAGAGAAGAGGATGGGAGATTGCAAGAGAGAACAGACGAAATGTCTACCCTGCCTCGCCTCGCCTCGCAGGCGCCGCGAACAATCGCCCGAAGCCACCAAAGCAGTCCCCCGATGCTCCCTCCCTCCGTGTGTCTTGTGCGACCTGCTCCTGCACGGGCATAGATATGGGGATGGGGATGCAGGGCCAACACCAAACCTACAACCATGGAACCACAACATACACGCACACCCCGTTTCTCCACCTCTCTCACCCTTCCATTGCTCTCTACTCTCTTCTCTCTTTATACCACCCATTTTGCAAATACACCCTGTTGGATTCATTTCTACGCTAATTCCAACAACCATATCAAACGCACTCTCCTACGTTTCATTATATCATCTTCGCATCTTATCTGTGTGTATAGATAAGTCCTCTTCATGTTGCTTTATTTTTAAATACAAATACTGAAATATATATATATATATATATATATATATATATATCCTCTGAAATTTTAATTTTAGTCATTTTAATAAATACATTACTTTATTGTATAATACTAGTAGTTATCATTGTCATAAAATGCATTTTATTTTGCAACTTGTAGCCTCCAACTTGTAGTCTCCAATACACAAAAGAGACCTAACGTTTAGTCCACAACAACCTTAAGTTTTTGCACACATTAATTTAAATTCTAAAAAGGAAATAAATTTACAGTGTATTATTTATTTTTAAACAATATACATTTATGAAGTTAATTTTATAATATGATGATTTATAGAATTAAAATTTATTTTTAGTTTTTAATTTTATAAAATATTAATCTAGATTTAATAATCATCCAAGTTTGGGTGCTTTGTGTAATACATTAAATATTATTTGAATAATTTTTACTACTCTTATATTTATTATAATTTTATTGTAGTTTTAAGCAGTCGTGCTAAAGCCATTGTATCATTTTAATTTTAATAAAATTATTAATATGAATTTTAGTATAATTTTAAAACATGTATTTTCAAAGATATAAATCTACAATAGTTCATTAAAACAAATAACTTATATCCAAATATATTAAATTAAATTAACAAGATAAAGAGTAATTGTACTTTTTAATGAGTTTTATTATATATAAGGAGATAAATTAGTCTAGAACTAAAAGGCACTTTATACTAAGGGAACAATGTGAGAAGCCACAAATTTTATATGTTTTCATAAGTTGAAATTAAGAAAGTTTTTATACTTTGCTTCATCCTTAGAAAAATTCCAAAGGCCTCAAGATGAAAAAATTAGGTGGAACGCACTTTTTCCTTAAATGGTATAAATAGCATTGTCTCTTGGAATTTTTGATCAGCTCATCTAAAAAGAGGTGGTTTTTTTTTAAAAAATCCAACAAGTTGTATATGAAAATGCTTAAAACAACCATTAAAAATAAAAATAAAAATATTATTTTTTATACTTATGATTTTTTGAGTCAATCCATGACTAACAATAATATTAAAATATTGGTTCATCTCATGGCCTCTTGTCAATTTATATTGTATTCAAAGGACAAAACGTCTAGAGAAGGACTTTTCTTTATTGAGTAGAGAATCTTAATTAGCCTTTTGAACCATAGCCTGTCAAAGTGGGTTCTAGATATAAAGTATCCTTAAGACTAGAATAAAAGAAAAGACTAAAAATTGCCTTAGTCTTATTTTAATATATTATAGTTAACAATAATATGATGATAATAACAGACTTGAACATTTTATCATCAATTAGATTATTGAACATTTTTATTGTAGATATTCTTGTCAATCATATTATTATTAATTTTTTTTTCAAAATTGGTGTTAAAAAAATATTTTAATATATGTATATATATATATATATATATATTATAAACTGCTTTGACATAACACAAAATATCATAAATAGACATGAAAATGAAACTTCATTTTTTTTCAACTGATTATTTCTTATTTTTGAAAAATAACAATTATATTTTGAGAGTATAACTACATAATCAGTTACATCTACTCAACCCAATTGAATTATATAGAAATTTTGACTAATTCCAAATTATTTCTACATGATACAACATATGGTTCATAATAACTCTTTCTTGCCATGAACAAAAAAATCAACAAAATAAATAATCTAAAATATTACAAAAATTATGTTTGACATCTATTTTAGTTTGTTGTATTTATTGTATACAAAGAAAGTATTCAAATTGGCTAGTTTTAATAAGGCAATTATATTTATTGTGTACCATGGCTGTTTCTTCACTAATTCATTTTGTTTTTATCTTCTTGATTTTAATATGCAAAATTTTTTACATAGGCATGGTGCATTTTATTTTTTTAATAATACATAAAATATTTTACTTTTTGTGAAAACAGCTATACTTTAAGTTTGTATGGTATTATAAAAGATATTGAAACAAGTTTAAATTATAGAATATTTAGTATTTTTAATATGCACAATTATTTTCGAAATATATATATATATATATATATTTATGGATGCTAGAAAAGAGACCCATTTAGCAAGTTGGATGATTATTGAATCCGAAAAGAATTTTAATAGTAAATAGGAATCTTTGTCATAGATAGATAATTATGTTGCAATATCATTGCAAGTATTGTCTACATCACACCCACTCACGCTGCCAACGCGGTGCATCAGCGCTGTTGCAAATGGGGATTTTCATCAATTCATCCATCTATTCGTTCCTGCATCCATCCATCTATCCATCCATCGGGAGAGTCGAGGGTTCTAGGGTTTACAAGGACCTGAGGGCACAAGCTCTATTTCTTTTGCGTTTGTTCTCGTCGCTGCTCAAGCTCTCAAGCTTAGCTTTGCACATTTCCGGCCCACCATCATGCCTGCCCTAATGGCGAAGAAGGGACCCGCAGCCCCCGGTAAGGGCAAGAAGAAGGCTCAGACCTTCACCATCGACTGCGGCAAGCCCGTCGAGGACAAGATCATGGACATCGCCTCCTTCGAGAAGTTCCTCAACGACCGCATCAAGGTGGACGGTAAGGCCGGAGTGCTCGGCAATGCTATTTCCATCTCCCGCGACAAGAACAAGATCAGCGTCATCTCTGAGAGTTCTTTCTCCAAGCGGTAGGATCTCTGCATTCACCCTTGGCTTCTCCTCCTATGATCTTCATTCTGTTTTTCTCCTCTGTCAGGAACCGCTGGATTCTTTATTAGGACTTCTGGACTGTTAATCCCAGACGTATCATCACTCGATGCAAGTAAGGATTAGAGAGAATTGTAAGGTTTAAAATCAGGGTTTGTTTGCAAACGTGAGATACTCTGGTGGTTCATATGGCATATGAGCGGGTTTCTTTGTGCTTGAAGTAATTTGAAGGTGTCGGAGGCCAGCGGCAGCTTGCAGCTCGTGTGTTGAACTCGGTGTGCTGAATTTTGACCTCCAATTAGGTGATTTAGGCGTAGTTGGTGTAGTGTGATTGCGGTATAATGCAATTCTGATCCAGGTTTAACTGCAGATACTTGAAGTACTTAACGAAGAAGTACTTGAAGAAGCACAATGTGAGAGATTGGCTCCGGGTAATCGCGTCCAACAAGGACAGGAATGTGTACGAGTTGCGGTACTTCAACATCGCTGACCAGGATGCCGAGGAGGAGGACTGAGTTTTGGGATTTTATAATATATAGCCCTGCGACTCTAGCAAGTTTTCTTATTGCTCAGTGGGACCATTGTATACAAATTGTTCCCACATATTGAGATTACATGCAGTCCGAGTCTATTCTTGTTTTGTTGTCCATAACCTTTGAGTATCAATGTGAAATGGCGGCTCCTGCGTGTTTGATTAGTGAATATTTCGCGAACCGTTCTTGGTTAGTGACTTTGCTCATTGAACTCCAATAGGTTTCCATGCCATATAGTCTATTTTACACGTTCTTACCAACAATTCCGTCACATGTAAGTTGAATTATAGTTTTACAGAACTCCCCATGCTGGTATGGTAACTAATGATTGTGGATTGAGTTGCAATATATTAATCAATGTCCACACAACTTTTCGAATGTGTTGTACAGCCTGAACCATGTGGACTGATAGGCAAACGTGATGACGGTGCTGTCTGGGTGTAACAGTTGGGAATCGTTACCTCGACCTTCACCCTCAAGGCTCACTCTTTCTAACAGTGAGGCTCCTTTGAAGAAGACAATTGGTAATAGCAAACTACAGGGTAGGTACCATAACCGAAACTTTATTGTAATATGTAAGGACCAGAATATTTGGGAGTGTTGGGCACGGTTAGTGCTCAGAATGACTTAGCGATGTTGACATTCTGCCTTGTCATTCTAAAAACCCCAGTGGATACTGGTATTGGTCAGAGTGGGGATACTTGAGGGTACGTCTCTTCACCAATATTCCATTGAAACAAGCCTATACCAATCAACATACTTCTGAGTATTCTCGGGCAATGAACACTCGAACATCACAAGGTCGGATGAATGTGATGCTTTCGAAGAGCCAATCCGAAGTCCAATACTACAGGAATCCTCAAAGCGCAGTGTTAGTTTGATGTATCTAATTTCGTAAAATAATAACAGAAGTAGTTGATATGTATGTAGTAATTTTCATTCAATTTCAAGTACTGATTGAAAGTAGGTCCCTCTTTTGTTGAATAATAAATTACAATATATGAGGTTGTTACCTGTTTCTTTTCCATGACTTTCCAACAACATATGTATTGAAACCAATACTGAATTGTACACATTATTATTTTTTGTAATTTATATTCATGTAACATTCAATTTGATTTTGATTTAAATGGTTATTGTTGAAATAGGTAATGTGTAGGGGAAAAAAAAAAAATATTGAGACCAATTTAAGGATTGAGATATATATATATATATATATATATATATATATATAGAGGAAAATGATAATTTGGCCTAATTTTTTACTAAATCAACCTTCATGTTTAAATCATCATTGTATCCTTTCAACCCTATTTCCATTCTTAGTTGTTTCCTTATTCTCAATTGTCATCCCTATTTCCAACCTTCCACCTTCATCCTTAATATCAGTTGAAAATGGAGAACAATTGGAAATATGGATGGGGGCTATAAGGATGCAATGACAATTAAGCTAGGATGGGTTGATTTAGTAAAAATTTGGATTGATTTATCAATCTTTCTTATATATAATCAATTAATCAATCAATATATCTAAATTCATACTTCAAGTCATGCTTCAACTCTTCCACAAATATTCATTGCAAATAATATATGTAACATTATCAAACTTGTCAAAAAGTAGGTAAACTTAGAACCATATGTGATCAAGTTATAATTATTCAAACCAATTAAAAAATAGAACATCTTATTCAATTGTGTGATTTCTATTGATAATTGAAACATTTCAAAAATCTATGTTTGCATTGCATCATTTTATTTGACATGGATGAATAGCATATAAGGCCATTTAATAAGACTAGTTATTGAATCTGTTTGGTCTCATGGACATGCTAATGCCTGTAAGATTAGTGAAAAATACCTATTGGATGATGACTAGGTTCAAAAACTACGACCTATTATTAAGCAACATGCAAGTATATGTTGGAGGGTTGTTTGGACCTAAATAAATTAGTAAATAATGCTTGTATTTTAAAGTTTGGATTTGAAGTTTTACTTTAAGAAATATGAATTTATAAATAAATAATAAAAATGAGACTTGCTCCTTTGCTTATTGAAAAAAATTACATCTATTTGAGATGAATTATTTTGAGATGGATTATTTTTACCATGACATGTGGTGAGGAATTCTATCTTCTTAAAGAGACTATATTTCTTAGTTCTAACTTTTCATTTCTGATCCAAAAATTTTAAAGCTTCTTAAAATAATTTATTTTACTATATAAGTATTGAGCAATATAAGATTTTAACTAATATTGTTATATATTCACCAAAAAAGATATTTAGCTAAAATATAACAGGGTATAGATAAGATAATTATATAAATGATTAGAACCATGGAAGTTTCTAGAATTGAGATTAGGTTAGTGGATCAGATAGGAGCCACCGTAGAACATTTTAGAAAGGATTTAGGACAGATATCTAGGTAGGATCTACCATAGAACATTCTAAAAAAAGAAATTAAGGTGGTTATCTACGTAGAGCCTATTATCTAAGAATATTTTAGAAAGTCTAAGGTGGTAGAATAAGATATAAATAGCACTAACTAGGGCCTTTTGGGGCATCTAATCAAGTATGACTTTAGATCCTTTCTCTTAGTAAAGTTTGGTTCTGCATCTTTCTGTTAAGATCTATTTTGTTTTGATTTTGTTTTGTTTTTGTTTTCTCAGTTTTGTCTTTCATGTCCTACTTTGTTTAGTTTTGTTCAATTTTTTTTTGTCTATTTTGTCATATTTTGCGAGGAGGCTTTATATTGTTGTAGATTAGAAGGATCTTGGATTTTCAGTTAAAGTAGCTCTATTTCATTTGTATTAGAGCGAGTGTTAGAATGTTCACTTTTAATGGTATGTTAATAGTCATCATTTAATCTAAGGTCAGTTGTGGTCACATTGGATACTACATTGAGGCTATCACAAGCTACTCTTAAAAAATCAACTGGAAGGTGAAGAGACATTATAATAGTGGAGTCCAATGAAAAAATTATAGTATGAGAGATATGGCAGAGCAATTCTAGATGGAGACTTAAATACAACACCTCTTAGGCGATATAGCTACTTTTTAAGGGAAAATATAAGCCTTGAAGACAAGAGAGCCGATATCTATTGAAAAAATACAACAAGCAAGATATAAGTAAGTAGAAATCAACAAGGTTGCACACAAGAGAAGTGTGGAATGAAATGCCTCCCACTTCCAATACCTTTATTTATAGGTAGAGTTTACATCTATTATGGTTGCACTTCATCTTCATCCATCTTTACTTCATTCAATAAAATCTTAGCCGCCACTTAACCTAGCTACCACCTTAATTATTTTTCTTCACCTTTTTACTACCTTTTAACTATTAATAACTTATTTAAGATAATATTTATTTATTTTATCATATCTATAGTAATACTTATTTACTTTAATTCTCCTACTTTGCTTTATATTAAAGGCTATTAATTCTAATGCCTTTGTTAACTTCTGATGCCTATCCTTCACTAATGCTTTTGTAAGGAAATCAGCAAACATGTCTTCTGTTGCACAATACTTCATATCAATCACTCCTATTTCAATCTTCTCTCTTATGAAGTAATGTTGAATGTCAATGCACTTGGATCTTGAGTGATGCTTTGGATTCTTTGCAAAAACAAGACATCTTTAGTTATTATACTTCATTGGAATTGCTTCCATTTGCATGAATCCAATGTCTTCTAAAATTTGTCATAGCCAAATTACCTCTATTGTACCATGACTTGCTGCTATGTATTATGCCTCCATTATGGATCTTATAATTCTTAGTTGTCACTTACAATTCTATGAGATTGCTTCCACTCCAACAAAGAACTTATATCCAGTTGTTGAACTTCTATCATTTGCATCACCAGTCCAATTTATATCACAATAACTATGTAATGCAACACTACTTCCTATCACGAATTTAGAATACTGACTGGAAATCTAAATAAGAAGCTTAAGAAGAATTGGCAAGAACTAAATTAATTAAATGAATACAAAAATAACACTAGAAAGATGAGCTAGAGCTCCAAAAGGTGTGTTGTCGAAATTGAGGATCTCCACAGTCTCAGCTCTTATGTATACTATAAGCTAAGAAGCTTCTCAAGTAGCTTTCACAAATTAGGAAGCTTTTTAAGTAGCTTCTGCGAGCTTGAAAATTTCTCAAGTAGATTCTATAAACTACAAAGCTTCTTTAGAACCTTCTAAAATCTTCTACAACTTTCTAGTGTATGTCCTTGACATGAATCCCCCCTCTAGATTCGAGGTCTCCGAGAAACATTCCTATTGCAAGTTAGTACCAATGCAAGAAGTTGAAAATTTGTCCCATAGTGTCTACAATATACTCCAATTATTGTTTGTACGACAAGAAGTTCATTGGTCCTTATAACCAATGATGGTATCCTACGCCTTTGATTTCTAACCAAGCATGAATTTCCGTGTCTTTATTGTGAAAATGTCTTACAAACATTTCTTCGAAAAGATCACCATAGGTAGGTTCTACCTCAAACACAATCACTAGCGACTTGTTATTAGGTATCCTCCGTCGTCTTTGTGGTACAGGCAGTTCTTCATCTCTGGATCATCTTCATGAGATACTCGGTTGAAAGGACATGACTGGTATAGTATCTATCTCTTAGCTATCCATATCAGATCAAAAAAAGAAGTACTAAACATGAAAGAATGGACTCAGGTTATAAATTTATAGTCTCTAACTACATCTTTTAGAGGTTCCTTCTCCCCCTTCTTTGTAAGATCGAGGATTAAGAGGCTTCAAGAAGAAGGGACTTCATTGAAAAACTTTCATCGAAAGGGTTTAGATTTCTGAGGATAGTGTGAATGAAAATTGTATACCTTTTGCAACGCATTGATAAGATTTTCCGTTGGTTCCCATGTGCGCTTATTGATAACACAACCGCTCCAATGCACTAGGTACTTCAATTTTTCCCACCTACGCTGCGAATCCAGTACCTTTTCCACCTCATATTCCTCGTGGTTCTCAATTTCAATACTAGGTGGCAGATATTGCACTCTTCCAAGAAAAGACAACTCTCGATAAGGCTCCAACAAAGAAACATGAAAGACTGGGTGTACCTTCATAGCGGCTGGTAATCCCAGATGGTACGCCACTAGATTGATTTGCTTCTGGATGACAAATAGTCCCAATCTCTAGTAGTCCAACTTATCACATGGCCGCTTCGTTTTGATATTCCGTCGAAGTAATGTTAGGGACATAATCCTTAGAACCTCCTAGAGACAAGTTTCTAGAACCTTCTAGAAGCAAGTCTCTGGAACCTCCTAGAAGCTTCTTAGTTGGTAGAAGATATTAGGGACATAGTCTTTAGAACCTTCTAGAGATAAGTTTCTAGAACCTTCTAGAAGCAAGGCTCTGAAACCTTCTAGAAGCTTCCTAGTTGGTAGAAGTTGCTTGAGAAGCTTCCTAAATAGAAGTATATATTGGAATCAAGGCTGAAGAGCTCTTCAGTCTCGACAACACATCTCTTGGAGCTCTAGCTCACCTCTCTGGTGTTGTTCTCATCTGATTAATCTAGTTCTTGCTAGTTCTTCTTGAACTTCTTGTTAGATCTCGAGTCTGTATTTCTGTGTCCATAACAGTTTGTCAAGACTGCACTCACCTCAGATATCACAGCTAGTTTCTTCTTTGTTAGAGTGTGGATTACCCTCCTCTAAACTGATACTTCTTTTGTTACAATATTGGAGTCTTATTCTTCTTGGAGAGAGTGGATTACCGCTTTTCTTGAAGCTTTTAAGGCATTTTAGAGGTTGCGGAGTACCCTCCTCTAAACCAATATTGTCTTCTTGTAGAGTCATTTCTGTCCTTCTCTTAGAATGGCCGCGGACCAAGACATTAGTATGACGGAAAGTTCGGAGTCCAAGTTGGATGCTATCATGAATGCCCTCGCTACGTTATCGTAAAGAACTCCAGAGATTGAAGGAATCATGGCAAGGCTTCATAATGATGGAGCATCTGAGATGGCACAATCTAGGTTGCACCAACCTCAAACTTCTGCACTT